TAGTGAAAACTTTAGAAACGTTCGACATCCGAAAATAATCTAGTCCATGCTCAGTACTATGGTTGGGGGACAACATGAGAATACTGGGTGCTGTAACTTCCTTCTTCAAATATACATTACATGTGCGAATGGCTTTCGCTGCACAGTTTTGAATAACTATAATTGAATATAAAAACGCAATACATAATAATGATGTTACTAATGTTGTTAGGCGAAACCATTTCGGGCAAATGGTGAGGGACAAAACTCCTGGCGAAACTTGGCGAAACCTCGGAGAAAGTCAAAACTCAGCGAAGATCAAAGCCTCTATGACTTTGGAAAAGCTAAGCCGTGTTGGTGAATGAAAATATTTTGCGAGCTATTAAGTACAGCATGTGGCTTATATAAAAAATGTATAGTAAAGCAATAAACAAAGCGATAGCTTTTGACAACGCCAGGGCGTAGGATCGATTTTACTGTTGTTACACACCAGGGAGAGACTTGGTACCAACGTAGCCAATTCAGTTCAGGGCTGTAAGCATTAAAGGGAAGGAAACAAGTATTTATTATATTATATGAGACACTGCAAGTATCCAACTGACAGAGAAGCCTTCTTTATTTATTCACAAAGTCCAAGATGTATGGCTTGAGTCATGGTTCTATTTTATTATTTACAGGTTGGAGTTTGTAAGTTCCATTGCCAAGTTTGTTGCAAATTCGATAAGAACCTGTTTACTTTTCTTCTAATTTTCTACCCACCTGCTTTGCTAATCTGGCTCTGTATTGTAATATTAAATCACCAACTACAAATATTTGTAGAAGATGTTGTTGATTATAATATCATTTTTGTTTTAATTGCAATTGTCAAATATTTTCTCTGGCATTTATCTGAGCTTCAAATAATTTATCTATAATTCTGAAAGTTCAGGCTGAAATTAGGGCATCATATTGTTCTTTAGCTATACTATCTACAGGATATGTCTCTAATATCAACTCAACAAGTAAAGTAGTTTCTTATCCATAAAGTAAGTAGAACAGATGATACTTTGTGATATAGTGCTTGGTGGTTCTACAAGAAAACAATGCTGGCAACAAATAATCATCCTAGTTGTTATGAAATTGACTCACATATTTTGCTAGAACTTTGCATAAAGTTTTATTAAATCTTTCCACCAGACTGTTGCTTTGGGGATGGTAGGTGGTAAACAATTTATGTTTCAATTAGGCTTTTTTATAGACAGTATCGATCATTTTATTAACAAAATAAGAGCCTTGATCCGATTGTATTTGTTATTGGCATCCATGATGATTTATAATCTCTTCTAATACAAAGGCAGTGACACTTTCAGCAGTACAGTTCAGTAGAACTCTCGACTCAGGCTATCTTGTCAAATACTCAATGGCAACAACTAAGTATCAGTTCTCTTTGTTTGTTATAAACAACAGGTCTACTATATCTATGCTGATGTGATCAAATAGTTGAGTTACTTGAATAGGGTATAAGGCTTCTCTTTTCAAAGATTTACTCTGATGTTGACATATGTCACAACTTTTAATGAAGTTTCGAATATTATTCACTATTTGTTTCCAATAGTATCAGGTTCTTATCTTCTTAATAGTGATATCTTCACCCAAGTGACCAGCTACAGAGTCTTTATGCATCACTTTCAAGACTAACTTCAATTGGTCTCTGCATAATACTCTTAAGGGTTTACTTGAGTTTCCTTTATTCTTTCAATACAAAATGCCATTGTGAACAAGGTAATATTATGCTTGAGCCTTCATTTTTTTATTCATTCTTTTGTATATTTTACAGATATTTCTAATTTGTTTAGATAATCTACTAACTCTTATATAACTCCAACTCTATTTTAATATTTTTTTTTTAAAAATTTAAATATTTAATGGAAAAAGTATTGCTTAAATAGAAATATCAGATCTTGTTTCACATACTACCATTACATGTTAATATGTGTCTTTAGTTTTTCACCTGATAATAATTATATTTTCTATTATATAGGTGTCCTGTTCTCTACATCTATTCATTGTAGCTGTTCCAAATTCATTATATCTATATATTTTAAAATATTTTTATACTGAATTTTGCATTTCTTATCATTATTACCAAAAATCTTTTATCTTCATTCTTCTAAGTATGTTTGCATATTACGTAATCCTAATTCAAACTAATTGTTCATAACTGAAAGTTTCAAATATACTTAGCAAGTACTTTGATTTGCTTTTTTTTTTGTTTACAGTTAAATATAATTTTTATTGTGGTAAATAGTATTAATAGGTTTTTTTTTTGTATTCACCAAGTTATGTGATACTATTGTTACTCTATTATTCATACCATACAAATTCTAATTGCATTTTAGCAGTTAAGTCATTTTGACTTTATTTTGACTTCATCTTGTATTGTAATTTCAATTAATGTTAATAGTACTAATAAGTTTTTTTTTGTTTTTTTTTTATTGTTACTTGTTCAAAATTCTTTTTCAACCTCTATTTCTTCTTTATCTACCATCTGTTTTCCTCCTGAATTAAAAATAATTCTTAACAAAGCATCAATATTGCCAATTTGTCTTCTAGGCTTGTACTTTACAATAAAATTGTAGCTTAATGTATCAGGCCATCCTACCTGTTGGATTTAATATATTATTCAGATAAGTTAGGGTGCTATGATCTGTTATTAGTATAAATTGTGACCTATGCAAATATTGATAGAATTTCTTTATAGCCTAAATGATTGCAGTGCACTTCAATTCAGTAATCATATAATTTTTCTCAAGTAGTTTTGTTGACTAACTTGTATACTCAACTACACATTCTCAACCATCCTTATCTATTTATACTAATATAGTATCTAAAGCCATATACAATGCATTGGTATATAAGAAAAATTTTTTATTGTCTTGAGGATATACTAAAATCGAGGCTATCATTAAGCATTTCTTTAATTTAATAAATACTTCTTCCTGTTCCTTTTGCTATCAATATTCTGTATTATTTTTTAGTAAGGTATATAGGGGTACCAATATCTTAGAGAAACCTTTTACAAATTGATAGTAGAATCTAGCAAGTTTAAGAAAACTTCTCAAAGCTTATATGTTCATAGGCCCTGAAAAATTCTTCACAATGATTATTTTTGACTTAACTGTGGCAATTCTATTTCTACTAATTTCGTAACCCAAGTAAGAAATCTTATTTTGTCTAAAAAACCATTTATCCAGATTCAGTTTTAGGTTGGTTTCACAAAGCCTTGATAATACAATATTAATATCTTCAAATATATATCAAAATTAGGCAAATATATGTTCACATTATCAATATATGCCAAGACAAATTTCTATATTTTATCCTTGAGAATACAGTATATCTGTCTTTGAAACATCACAAAAATATTCATTAATCCAAATAGCATTACTATAAATACATAAAGGCCAAATTGCATCATGAAAACTGTTTTTTTCTAATCCTAAAGTTCATTCCTACTTGCTAAAAGCTGCTTGCAAGATTTAACATTAGATACCATGCAAAATCTTTCAAAGCTTCTAATAGTTCATTTATTCAGAGTGACAGATAACTATTATATTTTGTCATCTTGTTTAGTTTTCAAAAATTAACACAAAATTTAAGCTTCTCATTCTTTTTCTTAACTAGAACTATCAGAGATATCTATGAACTATTTAATGTTTAAATTAAGCCAGAATTTTCCATTCCTTGATTTCCTGGCTGATAAATTCATATTTAACTCTAGATATTGAGTAAAATCATTGCTTGATTGAAGAATTTTTTCAGTATAAATTTTATATTGCACAACTATCATGCAACCTAATTTATATAATTCATATACAAACAAATCTTGATATCTTTTTAATACTTCTGTTATTCTTTGATTTTGTTCATTTTTCATTTTACTAATTTTCAGTTCACTAGCCAAATTTTTTATATTATCTAACAAATATACTACCCAATTGTCTTCACATTGTTTTCTTACAACACAATCAATTTGATCATATTCTCTTTTCATACACAATCTACAAACTTCATTATTCTTTTTTATTATAGGACAAAGCTTATAAAAAAAGAAGTTTTGGTTGATCAATGCTTCTTTCTTATCATCATCGATATTGTTATCCCTATTATCAAAACTTTTACTATTCTCATTACTGTCATTATTTGATTCAACTACCATGTTTTTATTTTTTTCTTTCTCTATTTTACACAGGTCGAATAAATCTATACCGGTGAAATATCGGAAAGCCGATATTAAACGAAAGTTATACAATAGTTTAACGATATTATATCGATATTTAAAACTGATATGTTACCGATATTAAACAGAAATTTGGCAGGAATAGGATACCTTTCGAACAATTTATAGTAATCTTTCGGAGTTATCTCATTTAACAGAAAATTAATATCGGCTAAACGATAACTTAATCGAAATTCTGATATTAATTATATAGGAATAATATCGGTAACTTTCAGGACACTTATCATAAGCATATCGGAATTCC